TTTTAACATGACATTTCACATTCACTAAATTTCTTAAAATGTAGATTGTGTTAAATGATTTCCAATTGTGTACGAATAGGAATCAAATTGGTCACTTTTTGAAATTACAACGACTAAAATAAACATTTTAAAAGTACAAAATCTAAAAGTAACACAAGTTGAAAATATATGGACAAAAATGAACCAAAGTCAAAAATTAGAGGGACTAAAATAGTATTTAAACATTTTTTTTATTTCTCGAGAATTGATGTCGTGTGCTTACGCCTAGTAGATCTCTATAACTGAGATTTTGTACTTTATTTCAAAACATAAATAAAAAGATTATTTTATCATACTTGAATTTATAGATGGTGAAGCTATGCAATTCATTTTTCTTTATTAAAAATGATAAAACAAAAACAAGAAACAGTAACATTACCAAACAGGCTCAAAATGATCCAATAGTTTTTTTTTCCTTTTTTTTTAATAAACCCCCTAATATTTGAACATTCAAAACCCTCAACTCATGAAAAAACACATGCTCCATTTGAATGTTACATTCATCATTTTGTTATTCAATTTGAACACTATTAAAGATATAAAAATTTAAAAGATTACAAACAAAGTTAAAAGGAATATACATATAGTATAAAGAATAATTTTGAAAGAAAAAAAAAAGCACTAGTGGGAGGGGGTTAGGTCAAAATCAATGCATGGGCCTCAACTTCCAAGTGTCCAAATCATTAATCATTTTCTTTTTGTTTTTATATTCCTTCATCATCCTCATCTTCATTTCATGCAATATTTTTATCTTCTCTCCATCCACACAATTATTTTAAAACAATTCAATAAATCATATCATCTTCTGAAATTTACCCTCCTCAAAATGGTTTTACCTTACTCTGGTAAAGGTTTTAAATATAGATGGGATCTTGAGGTCGAATTTTATAAAAAGTTCGATAGAAATATTGATAAATGTTTTTAAAAAATTATTTAGTTTAATAGATCAATATTTTACCCTTTTGAAATTCTTTGTTCTTAATAATATGTGTATATCAATGATGTTTTGTTGATATTTTCTAATACTTCGTCGATTTTTTTACGATACAATGAAAATATCAATTTACTCTTTATGTGTCGATGTCAAATTCATGGACATATTAAACGTTGATGGAATAAAAATTTGTTTTGAATGTTACGTGCATAGTTATTTAATTTAATTTTAAGTACGTATTGAATAGAATTTGTTTACAATATTTTAAAATACCAAGGATGAAATTGAAATGAGAACACTGTTTTATATATGTATGTATGTATATGTTGGGAAATTGAAGACTCTGAATAATTTTCCCTTCCATAGAAATATCCAAACACAATAAAAATATATGAAAATAGGAAGAAAACTGTAAAAGCACAAGAATAACGACACAACAAATTATACTGGTTCACCACTAAGGGCTACGTCTAGTCTTCCACTCAGAGGTCCCAACAAAAGCCCTTTAGCTTCTAAGTATTATAACACACTATATTTAGGTACAAGAATGAAAAACACTCACTAAACCCACCAGATACAGAATTCTTTTCAACACTGCCCACAACCACTCAAGTCTCTTTTATTTGGATTCTCTACAAATGAAACCTTAACATAAAGACTCTATTTATAAGAGGCCAAATATCCTAATTCTTATAGGAAAACAATATTGTAATCCTTATAAGACAACAATATCCTACTCCCGGTAGAAATTGGTAATAGTGTTGAAAAATCCTTTTCTTCATAGGATATGGGTTTTCTGTTTTGGCTTCATAATCCCAACAATCTCCCAATTGGAAACAAAACGACAATTCTCTGCCTCCCACTGCATCAACAGTGCCCCATCAACTTCTTGACACCCTCTGTCAAGACACAGTTCTGACTCCTCTATCAACGAACTGATCAACACTGTTTGGCCCTACCCAAACATCGTCTGACTCTGCCCCGAGACTGGGCAGCTCTACGTGGTCTTGTCCCCCAGACTTAGAGACATAGCCACGTACTCCCACTTCATCTAAGTGGTCCCCATCGCTTCCTTTCTCGAACGAACCCAACAACCTCTGAAGGAAGATTCCCCTAATGACTTGGTGCTCCCATCCAAGTCTGTCGCCACACTAGAAACAGAACCTGTACCCTCCAATGCACTAATTCGCCTATGCGACTTCACCAACTCGCTTGAACGTCTAACAGCTGAGGTATGAACTCGATGGCCTATCGAATTCTCGTTTCCCTTTTCTGTACTTCTCAACTGTTTAACTTGAGCTAATGGCAGATTCTTCTGATCTGTTCTGGCCATCATTGTTGTTGGTCCTCTAAAGTCTCGCCCTGAACCATCTGTAGCTACTCTGTGCATCGTCTATCTCAGTGAACCCTTGGCAACCCCAAATTCTAAGACATGAACAGAAGATCTCTTATGGCCTGTTGCCACCACCCTAGATTCCCTATTGAGCTTCCAGCAACCCCCAGTGAACTCACTGCTATAGCCATCGTCATCTAGCTTCCCTGCGGATAACAAATTAAATCTGAAGCTAGGAATATACCTGACACCTTGTAGCACCAACTCGGCTCTTTCGCCTGTCTTCAAACAAACATCTCCAATTCCTTTCACCTTGGAGATACTCTCATTCCCCATCTTCATTGAGCCATAATCACCTACAGTAAGAGATGAGAACCAACGTTTGTCTGAAGCAACGTGCGCTGATACTGCAGTGTCAACCACCCACTGGTCTACAGATATGTTCCTCTGAACACAAGCCAGAAACTCTTCAATTGGTTCTTCTTTTGTTACAACATTTGCAGTAGTGTTCCCTTTCTCAAGATCTTCTTTAAACTTCCTGCAAAAGCGTTTAATGTGTCCCTTCTTGTGGCGGTAAAAACACTCCACTCCCCCACTAGAACTCCCACTACCCCTGCTATATCTCTGCTGCTGCTTCCCATTGTAACTCATCTTTACCTTCCCTTTGTTTTAAGCTACCAAAGCTAATTCAACCTTGTTTTCTGCCCTTGAAGTAGATACAGACATTTTCCCTAATTTTCTCCGAGCCTACTTAGATATGGCGGCATCACAAATAGCTATTTTCCCCTAGCGAATTCGACACCGCGATCTTCATCGTCTCCCAACTGTCAGGCAAAGACGTCAACAGCCTCATAGCTTTCACCTCCTCGTCAATCTTGACACCCATCCCTTCTAACTTGTTCAAGATATCGGTGAGTTTATTAATGTGGGAATTGACCGAGGTTCCCTCCTCCATGTGGATATTAAAATACTTCGTCCATAAAAGTATCTTTGTATTGGCAGAAGATTTTTCATACCTGTCTTGCAAGGCCTTCAACAAATCTTTCGCTGTAGTCTCTTTCGCCATCAGACTACAAACATTCATCGACAACGACATTCTGATGTTCGCAACGACCTACTCATCCATCTCATTCCAATCCTTGTCCGGCATCCTTGTTGGTCTCTCCCCTAAAGTTTTGTGTATCTTCTTGCACGTAAGAATATCATTTTCCTGCATCTTCCAAAAACTGAAATTCTCTTCAGTGAACTTCAGAACCTCTTCATAGTAATGGTGGGCGTGATATTTTTCTCCCATGATGGTGCAAACCTACAGCTCTGATACTACTTGTTGGGAAATTGAAGACCCTGAATAATTTCCCCTTCCACATAAATATCCAAACACAACCAAAATATATGAAAATAAGAAGAAAACTGTAAAAGCACAAGAATAACGACANGACCCTGAATAATTTCCCCTTCCACATAAATATCCAAACACAACCAAAATATATGAAAATAAGAAGAAAACTGTAAAAGCACAAGAATAACGACAGAGCAAATTATACTGGTTCACTACTAAGGGCTACGTCCAATCTTCCACTAAGATATGGGGTGACTTTATTGCAATGAGTATAATAAACAATTTTTATGGGTTTTTTTTTTTTCCAAAGAGTAACAACTCCACTAAGAAATGTTAGATTCTTCTGTATCAAATAATTTAATTAATCTTTGTAAAGTTGGATTTTCTTTATAAAACATGACAATGCATGTGGTTTTTGTTTTTGAACTATGATGCATGCTTATCAGGTTTTATTTACATAAATAAAATAAAATAAAATATTCATCAAGTCAATATTTCAATAGATATTTGTATAAATTAAAGTGCATTCCACTAGAGATTATAAAATATTCTATATAAATATAGATAATATATGGAAGAAAATCACTAATAAGATGAATAATTTATTTAAAAAAACGTAAAACACACTTTTTACCCATTGAAAAATTTTTTGTTAAAAAAATTGAAATACATATATTTTTTAATTTTTATACTCTCCGTTTTATTGTTATTATTTTCTATATATATATATATCTCGACATAACTATTTTTTCTTGACATTTCATAAAATTTAGGCTTGAATAACGACAAGTGGCGACATTAATATTTTAAGACTCTGTAGTGGTTTCTAATTTTATTAAGAAATCTAGATAGTTAATTTATTTATTAAAAAATAAATAGTTATATTTTTATTTATTAATGAAGAGATAACGAGAAACAAAAATGTTAGGATTCATTTGATAAGCCGGTAACATTCACCTTTTTGGTTTCTATTTTCTCTTTTAATACAAAATTTTAATTTATGTTAGAACAAGTTTAAAAAAAAAAACTCATTTTTATGGTCTCTAAAATCTCTATTCAATTTTGAGATGGTTTTTAAAAACTGAAAAATAAGAAACATAAATACTTTGTAAAAAGTTTATATTTCTTAATAAAATTTGAAACTAAAAATAAAAAACGAAAACATTATTAGACGAACCGTTGGCAAGCAAGTCCTTAATCTTTGATTTCTATAGATTAACTTCAAATTCTTACGTTTCAAGATGGTTTATAATTCAATCCTCTTTTCTTTTTTTCCTTCACTTTCCTGGGAAAATCTCCTCAATTTTATTTTTCCGGGAAAATTGTCCAGATCAAAGAGGTTCAAGAATCAGACATCCAAAATCTTCCCCAGCATCTAAAATATGACACTATAATTGTTTTCTTCATATTCACATCTATAAGTTTCTTGATCTATATATATATACTTCAATTCTTGTATGGACAGTTGAAAATTGGCTCTGCCAAGATATAATTTACAAATTTTGGTTGGTCTCTATATCAACTTTTTTTTTTTTTTTTCACAAACTATCTGAGCTTTTTCCTTCCATCTTAAGCTGCTGGATTCTGTGGCGCAATCGTCTCCGGTGGTCGTGGATCTTCCAAAGTCCGTGCCCCAGTATCACGGCCGAGTATATACCATGCGTGATGATCGGTGCGAGAATGTTATCAGTCTGAAAACCGTCATGACAAGAAAAAAAGACGGAACTGTTAATGTCAAAAATTTAATGGTAGTCAGTAAAAAGTGAAAGTTGATCAATAAGCACCTAAATATTATTTCAGTTGCACGTCTTACCTGGATCCACTCGAAACCGAGGTAGAGAGCAAGGAGTCCTTCGAGGAGGGGAGAGTATATCTTCTTCATTTGTCTTCTCTCGTACCACGCTGCAAATGTTTGTTTACAAATAAAAGAGATGAGGAAAAGAGTACTGAAGGTGCCTAGCTGCTCGAATAGCTAGGATTTCCCAACATGTTATTCGTTTGATGAGCAATAAAAGGGAATATCGAAATTTCACATGACTAAGTAACAGAAAGAAAAGCAACGACAAAAGTTAGAGTCAACGAGAGTATTTCTCACTTCTCTCTCATTCAAAACCATGAGCTTGAGATTTTAATCTCGCACGGCTCCTAAGCTAAGTGATAAAAAAGAACTCATCTTCTTTCCATTTCTTTATTACCTTCCTCGTATATGTATAAGACTGAATCCATTTGATTTAATAGTTCCATAAACTCCGATTAGACTACTAAGAACTGTAAGAACTTCATAGTTTCGACTCAACATCAGAAATGAAAATAGATGTAAACACTAGAGAAATTTCTGTCATATAAAGGATCCAACAAACAGATCTATACATTAGACAGAGAACTACATCTATTCATATTCAGATATGAATTTCAACATTGCTTTATGAGGACGCAAATACAGTAAAAATGAGGCCTAGAATCGAACCTGCGAAAAGCTTTTTGAGATCTTCACGACCAGACCGAGATTGCAAAACCGGAGCAACTACATAAGTGGGATCTAGAGGAAGGAAAGACAAGGCATTCATTAAGATGAAAACAGTCAACCAAACCGAAAACCGAACATCGTTTAAGCGATTTAATAGAATATCAACCTTTCGGCGATGCAGCAACATAGTAGAGGGAACCCGTGAGAGCAGCTGTGATAACCGCTGCAAATGCCTGTGCAAATGGCACAAATGGAGGCAGCACGCCGGTCTAGAGAACGGTATCAAAGTTAGTCATACAAGTAAAGCGATATGTTCATCGATAAGAGGGAAAAAAAAATTGCACACCAGAGATGCCATTCCTTGAACATCTGCGGCGATATCAGTACTCCTTAAGAATATATCAGCCAGTGCTCCCTACAAAGTTTGAGAGAGAGCGAAAAGAATTCTCGTTAATATGAAGAACAAACAAAAACTTTCTGCAGCATTTCTAACCACAGTAATTTCTCAATGTTTTGTCAGGTTCAAACCAAGATGACAAAATATCTACATATCAATAGAACAAACCTGAACGGCTGCACGGTAAAAGAGCTCCTCCCCGACTGAGCTTGCGGCAACGATAAGAATGAACTGCAAAATTTGGAACACAAAGTAAGCTAAAGGCTTTCTCCTCACTTCTTGTGCAGAAACAGAATGTGCAAACTCCAAACTAACCGCTTCTTTTTATCAGATATTCATCAGATAACTAGGAGTTCATTAAAAAAGGCTAACAAGTGGGAGAGATTCAACAATCAACCTGCCATGGAGACATTCCGTAAAAGAAGCTCCGAAGCTCCTCGTCTTCGACATCTCGGATCGCTCGAGCATGGGGTGACAACTTCACAACTTCGTCCTGCGACAATCCCCAAGTTCCACATATCATCAGGGAACTATTGAAAATTAGAGGCTTAACCATTTGAAATGGTGCATCAGAACACAAAAATCCAGAGCTTCTTGTCAGTTCTTGGAAAATACTTTTCAAATCTTATCCAAATTAGAATACAAGGCAAAAAAAACTGCTTGCGTACAAACATGTCCTAAAAATAAAAAACAGAATCATTGCCAAACATGCCCTACATCGTTCCTTTCCTTTTCATCTCAAAATCAAAGCTAATCCAGAATAACTTTAGGGAAAATGAAAACCCTTGTCATTAATCAAAAAAAGACTCAAAATTCTACAAAGATTAGGTGTTTTTCCTCAAAATCACTTATGAACATCATCTTCAAAATCCAATTAAGCTAAAGGGTATATATGTAGTTCTAATTTTTTGCTTACATCAAGAATGAAGAGGAGGGCCATAATTGGAGGGACAGCATATCCAAGTCCTTCCAAAATAGCATCCAAAGATGGCTGAAACCCTCCCATCCAATCAATCCCAGATATTGAGCATATAAATCTCCCAGCCAGAGCCATTGCTCCATAGATTCCTACAAGAAAGAAGAAGAAAAAAAACTCAAACAACTTTAATTACCCATTAAAAAGAAAGGAAAAAAGGAAACAACCCAGAAAGTTAAATCCCAAAAGGAGCCTGTTTGGCTGTTTCTGAATTACCAACACCATAGCTGAGCCTCACAACAGCACCAATCTTTTCCCAAACAGGGAACTCTGTTTCTCCGAAACTCCTATCCAGTGTGGTCACCTCCATGGCCGGCCCCGTGAACCCCCCACGTGGCTGCCCCTCCTCCAGCCTCTCACTCCTCCGCTCCACCGAAGCCCTAACGCCGGACGGCGCCGGGAACCTCCCGCCGGCGAAGGTGGGGGCCCGCTTCCTCGCCGGAAAATGGGAAATCTTGGAGCAGAATCCGAGTCTAGCAGCAAACGACATCGCTGAAGTGTTTGAAGATAGAGAAATAAACGGAAGCTCCATTGATTTCTTTGGTTCTTCTTCTGTAAAACGGGTCGCGAATCGGGTTTTTAAAGTGGGATTTCGGGCTTTTCGCGAGTCCGAAACAAGGAAGACCTCGTCTTCTCCATTGAAGCCATAAGCGGAGAGAATCTGAATTCTGTTGACTGGACGAATACAGAAAGGGGGTTTAACGAGAGAGAACAATTGCGGGGATTACTTTCTAGCCGTCCGATTAACGCGGTGGCAAATCGGACGGCGGCGAGATTGAGATGTGGGGGCCACCCGAGAAAGTGATTTTTGAGAAAGCACAGGATTTTTATGGCGAGTCCTGGGGTGAGGATGTCGGAGGGATATCCCGCGGGCAAATGAAATTTCGCCACGTGGAGATAATGTTGTCCCTCAATATGATGTGGAATTTTCAGTACCCTCCCGTGTTTTTTATCTCTTCTGAGTCAATTTTTTTCCCTCTATGATAAATCAATATTATCATCACCGTTTAAATTTCATTTCTCCAAACTTTCAAGTTGTCGTTGGAGTTTTAAGATATACAAACAAAGTCACGTATTGGTTGAGAAAGAAAATGATACATGGTATATAGATGTTTTTTGTGAAATCAAAAGCAAAACTATGAGAGTTTATGCCTAAAACGGACAATATAAAGAGTATTTGGGGTACCGTTGTCTTTTAACAATTGTCTATAATAAATCAATTTCCTATCATCAAATAGATTAGTTTGGTTTTTATTTTTAACTAATTATAGATTACATGACTTTAATGTGTATATTAATTACTTGCTAACATGAGATTATTGAAACCACGTTAGGTTAGTTAAAGTGAATATTGAGTGAGTAGATATTATACACCAAAATAATAACCATAACGGCATGGATGTTTTAAGTTCAAAAACCATAAAGTAAACCTTTTGAAAATTTGGGGTCTGACGTAAAAATAGATATTAACTAAAATTGAATAAACATCAAAGTTAAGCTATGATTAAGGCATTTCATGGGTGATTTGATCAATATTTAAGGTTAATTTTTTTTTACTCAATTAGATACATGAAATTCAAAAGTTTCCCTTTCTAGATGTTTCTTTATAGATGTTTCTTTATATTAAGGATCTATGAAAAGAGCAAAAGTAAGTGAATAAATAAAGCGGAAGAAAAGTACATCACAAAAAAACTAATTAAATGCTTCTCACTTTCAAAATTTCTTATATAGTTAAAAATATTTTTCACCACATTCTTTAAAATTTCGCTTTGGTCTTCAATAAACATTTTAAAATATGTCAAACAAGCTCTAAATATTTTTTAATTGCAACTAAATATGAAATTGAACAAAAATAAAAGGAAAATAGACATTTTAAAAATTAAATTGATAAAATAGAATAAATAAAAATTTAAGAATTATAATTAACAAGGCTTAATGGCGAAAATAATTAAAAGGTTGATAAAATTAATATCATCTCTTCGATTGTATTACAATTAATTCAACCATACTTAGGACAATTAATGGAGAAGATTGTGTTGGGAAAAATGGTGTATCCAATATTTTCAAATCAATAAATGACAAATGTCAATAAGTGAATGGGTTTGGAATATTTATTTGGATGACATAGTCGATGATGTGGTCATCATGGGAGAATGCTTTGACATTTAAAACTCACTTTCCATTCACATATTTAGTTCATTTAATCAATTTTAATAATTAAAATTTTAATTTCATGAATTGAATCTTACTAAATGTTTTCTTTTAGTACCGTAACAAAGTTATTCTATTTCAAAAAAAAAGATAAAGAAAATGACGTGAGGTGGAGATTTAAAATTTCAATCTAACCAAGGTTATTGGTGTCTGTACTTTTAATTATGTCGAGTTCTTTAACTAGGATTAAGCTTTTTTTTAATTAGTATTTTTTTTACCTATTTGATTTTATGATTTTAGATTTTGATATTTTTGTGATTGAATCTAGACATTTGAGGTATTTATTTTGAACGTTTTGTTAGTTATATTTTGTGTGACGTGGTTTACTTTAAATTTTAATTTTGAAAATAATGTCTCAATTTGATTATAGATACGAAAGTTCAAAGTTTTAAATGGATTCATTGAACTAAATACAAGATAAAAATGGATTTTTTTTCTTAAAATTTATTTATAATGGTTGAAAAATTAGGTGATCATAAAGTAAATGCCCTATTAAGAGATTTACACAATAATACGTTGAATAATTGACACCAAAGTAAAGTAGTCATGATAGATTATTTAAATTAAGAATATAAACAAGTCTCACTTCAACGAGAAAAGAAATTGTACAATGCTTTAAATGTCGATAACTCGATGAAAATGTCAATGTCTCAATTTTATGGAAATGTCGAGTGTAATTTTTAATGAACAATCTATAAAATATCCATGTTGTTTGATATTTCTAAAAAAACGTCGTCACAAATATTTAAAACAACATATAAACATAATTTTTTTTTCTTTTTGCAATACGTTATGAAAATATGGATTGAAATTTAATACCCCGATGACATTAATTAGTTTGAAAGAAATGTTTGTGCAAGAAATGGATGTATACATGAAAAATGTGTAAAAAGTGATCAAGTCTTTGTTTACAAATTGAAATAAAATTTCTATGGGCTAAAATAGACAAACAAGACAAGGTATGAGAAGCGTTTTACAATACTTGTTTAGGAAAAGACATGTTTTAAGAATTGTATTTTTGTCAAGGAATTGGTGTAGACTTTAAGACATGGTATTGGAAGTTTTACCTTGTTTAGATAGAGAATGAGTTGGAAGTATATGCCGATTGTGGAATAATATGTCGAGTTATGATTGATTTAACCCACAAGGATTCATTTGACAAAGACTCGTTTGATAGTGTTTCTGTTCTTGTTTCTTGTTTTCAATTTTATTAAGGAATCGAAGCATTTGACAAGTATTTATATTTCTTGTTTCTATTTTTTAGAAACATATTCTCGAAATTGTATAGACGATTTGAAAAAAACAAAAACAAGTTTTTTGTTTCTTGTTTTCGTTTCCAATTTATTTCAATATAAATAGAAATCTCATTCTATCATTCTTGAATCCTTGTTATTGAGGACCAAGCAATTCTATTTTTCTTTATTAAAAATTAGGAAATAAAAATAAAAAATGGAAACTTTATACCAAACGCGCCCTAACATTTTCATTTCTTGATTTCTTGTTTCTAGTTTTTTATTTCTAACTTGTGAGAAACATGAATATTGGTGATTGTTCTTATTTCTCGTTTCTTAAAAGTGGACTTTCCAAAATTTGAAACAATCAAATCAAGTTTCTTTGTTATAATTTCTATTTTCCGTGGTTAATTCCAAAAAGAAAAACACAAGATAAAAGCATGATATTATCATTTTTATTGTAAAGGCATAATAAATATCAAAAGTTAAATATTTAATTTGAAAGCTTAAATTTAATAGAAAATTTTTACTTGTTTTAATCTAAAATTTTAGAGAATAAAAATCAATATATTGTTATCAAATATAGTTCTATTTTTCTTCCTTGAAAAAAGAGAAGACGGAGAAACGAGAAACAAAAGCATTACCAAATGGACTATAGTTTGTTGCCAAAACTACATTATTCTACAATATTTTAATATGACATATATTTAACATGTAAATGGAGAAGACTTGGTTTGCAATAACCTTTGCATAGGTCAAATTGGTTAAGACATATATTGATAGCATAACTATGTGAGCCTCAATTATTATTTGTTAATCTTTATGTTATTTATGATATATTAATGAGGCCCATGAGGCATAATTTGTAGGAATTAATTATTGGGTGGAATTGGAACATAATTAGATTAATATCTAGAGAAAAAACAAAGTTAAAAGTGATTTATGAGAAGTACACACAACCAACAATTAAATCTTGTACTCGTGAGAACAGTGCTGAATGCTCCAAAAAGCGAGAGAGTACCCACAGTACGAATAGGTAGCATCATGCCGATACATAATACTGTCATATTGTTACCTGATAGAGCCATGACATTGCCATGTGGTAGCGTGGTACTACGAACCTTGGCTTTTATTAAAATATAGTGTAGCACCATGATGCTCACTAATAACGTCTTTATCTATTATAAGAATAGGATTACAATCCTGCCTTACTTGGAACCTTCAATGGAGAAGATTCTGTTAAGATTAATGGTGCATCAAAATGACAAATGTCAAAAAGTGATAGGCTTAAGCATTTATACATTTGGATGGAATTGTGAGTGACATATAGTTGATGATGAGATGATCATTGAGATGTTTGATGTTTAAAATGATGAGGAAACTCACTTTCAATTTACATATTTACTTCATTTAATCCATTTCAATAATTAAAATTTTAATTTAATCTTAAATTTTAATAAATGATTTTCTTTATACAAGAATGTTCTTTGTACCTATTTGATTTTATGATTTTAGGTTTTGGTATTTTTATCATCTTTAATTAAATTTTATATGCGATCTCTTAATTAGTTTATGGGTGATTTCAAATTTTAGTTTTGAAATTGTATTACTCTCACCACTCATATAAATTTAGGTTTCAATTATTTGACAATGAAATCAAAAGTTTAAAAATGGTCTCATTTAACACATACAAGATAAAAATGATCATATCTTAAAATTTATTTATAATTGTTCGAAAAATTAATTGAAGCAATGATAAAGCAAATTGCCTATTAAGAGTAATTTACACAATAATATGTTGAATAATTGACACCTAAGTAAAGTAACCAAGATGATTAATTAAATAAAGTTAGATAAGCAAACCCACTTCAACAAGAAGAAAAGAGATTAATTACAATAATTAACTTCGGTTTGAAAGGAAATGCTACACAAGAAATCGATGTACATGTCAACATGGGATATATTCTTCCATTGAAGTTGTGATCAATTTGGCATCTAATTCGGATTTGAAATTTAATAGTTTGATGTGAAAAGTGAAAACTGCATGAAAGAAGTCTGTATTGAAATAAAGGCGGATTCTGTGAGAAATCTTATTCTTGCAAATATTTAAATATATCGAAGTAGTTGATGACTAAAAGACAAGTCCGATAGAACAAAAAATAAGGATTTTTGGTAGATAGAAATTTTAATTTCTTTCCTGGTTGATTGGTTTCTATAAGTTATTGGATGACACTTTCCATGGTTTTGTACTTTTTTTCCATAGCGAAAAATAAGCCAGAAGTTAAGTGTTATTATGTTTTCGAAGAATGAATTTAGAAAAGTTACCAAGACAATAATGTTAGAATTGTTATTATATTTCTAAGAATGAATTTAGAAAAGACAACTTTCGACTAATATAATAAAGACGAGGTTTGAGTACAACAAGGTGGAGATTGGAGGAATTTGAACTCATGGCCTTCAAATCAAAGATAAGTGTCAATTACTGTTGAGCTAAACTCATATTGACAACGACGAAGATTAAAGATACTTTTTGAACTAGTAATTTCGACTAATTACTAAATGCCACGTCACAAAATTAAAATTATATTTAGGACCAATGATAAAATTACACGTGTCCTAAATTAATCTTAAAAATCGACGAATCTAATCATGTCACGTGTCTGATGAAATCAACTAATTTGATCAAAACTCATAAAGAGATTGGACCCAAGCCCACGACTCATTAAAGCCCGTGACCCATACCAGACCCACCAAACTCTATAAATAGAGGGGGTCACCTCTCATTTGAGACATTCGAAAAGATTCAGAAGCAATCTCCAACTCGAAGAACTAGAATTAATCAGAGGGTCATACATTAGAGATGGTAACATATTCAGTACAAATACAAATTCATAAATTCGAGTTTTCTCTTGTTGAAGTTCTCGTCAAACAATACTATAGAAATATTACGTAGTTTTCTTTTTTTCTTTTTTCTTTTATCTTTTTTTTGGCAAGAATTCACTCCAAAGAAACTTGGGTTTTTTCAGCTTTTTTTCTCGACGCAGAAAAAAACGTTGAAAAAAATCACTTCTCCAAATATATCTAAAAACGTCAGAAAAAGTTGACTTTTCCAGACGGTTTTAATAAAACGTCGGAAAAACTTCGACTTTTCCCAACAATTGTAATAAAACGTCGATGTTATTCAGAAACGTCGGGAAAAGTAAACTTTTTCTGACGATTTTAGAAAACCGTTGGTGAAAGCCAACTTTCCCGTATGGAAGAAGGAAAAGATAAAAAGATAAAAAGAGAGGAAAAATAATATTATTGTTATGTTATGACAATTTAGATATAATAATATATTGTGAAAGCTAAATTAAATTTATTGTAACCCTTTAGGTTAATAATATATATATTAGTACATCTTTAGGCTAATAATAAAGTTGTGTGTTGCTATCATCTAAGTCTTATTCAACTCTTGATTAAAGAGGTGAATATATAAATAACCTGAACTATTTGGTAACAACTTTGTTACTTTTTTTTATCTATTGTTTCTTATTTCTTGGTTCATATCTTTTAAAAATAATTATGGACCTTGTTTTACATTTTTTCTTTAAAAATAATTAATTAAGATAACGTTTTTTTTACTTATTTTATATTTACCATTTCTCATTTTTATCTATATATATATTCTTTTTGTCTAAAAGTTCAGGTTAAAGAAACAAAAAATTTATATAAAACTTAATTTTTCAAATTAAATAATTAACATTTTATATTATTTTTACCTTTTAATATTTATTATAAATTTTATAAATTAACAATAATAAAATAATATTTTATCTATATTCTACAAAAAAAACTAAAAACAGAAGAGAAAAAAAAAACTTGATTTTATTATTTCTTATTTCCAAAGAAATGGGAAGTTTCCTCTCAAACATTGAAAAATAGTGAAAAATAGTGACGCCTAATTATTTTATGATGATCAGTAATATTTTGTTTTTATCAATAGAAAAAAAAGGGCAATATTTTGTGATATTTCTACAATACATAAAAGACAGACTAATTTTTAATAGTAATGTCCAACCTTTCATTAAAAAAAATATCAACATTTATTTTTATTTTATTGGAAGTAAGAAAATATGAAACCAGCCAAAAACAAACTAAAAAAAGTAGGTTAAAATTTGTGCCCCGCCGGACGGTAGCCCTGGCTGGGTAAAGGATAAGCAGGAACATTTGCTCCGGCTAGATGAGTGGCGGCGCCGCCCTCCACCGGCAGTGGTGCATGGCCACCATGTACGTGGGAATGCTTCCTACTGCTTAGCTTTTGAGCTGCATGCCTGGCTTTCGCCTCGTGCAGCTCCCGCTTCGCCTCCGCCTCCCTCGCCTTCCTCCTCTCCTTCACAATCCTCTTCTCCTCCGCCGTTTTTGCCGTCGATTTCTTGACCTGCATACATTTCAGATTTTTACAATTCATTGAGATGTTTTTGAAGGAACCTGACCTCACTTTTACCCTTAATCAAATCTCACCTATTTGACAACTGAGATATGGAAAATATTTGACAACCACCTATGTCGGTATATATATATCTTAGTTCTTGATCTAGAAATAAATTATATCGTTGGAAAATTAAAATTCGCGTCCATTTTGATTCATGAACCTCCATGTACCTCTAATGTTTTTTCATTTTAGTCTACATCGAATCCTCCTCCCACATTTATCAAAATAAATTCAATATATTAAGACCTTCCTATCAAAATTTTACTTAAGAAGGGCTCATGTCGTCTTGGGCCGCTGCTGATTACGATTCATATACTTCTAACATTTTTCATTTTAGTCTACTTTTGAAACATTCAGTTTTATGTGCTTACACTTTAAAAAGTGACCATATTAGTTCTTTCATTGTCTCATTTTTTTACCATTATTTCAATATTCCACCTTACATTGAAAGGTAGCTATAAATTCGTAATACTAAGGGATTTTTATTAGGCTCAAATTTTGTATTAAAATTTTACAACATAAGAACTAAGTACAAAAATTAAAACAGATAAAGCTCAAAAATAAATAGACCAAAATGAACTAAAATCGAAAATACAATATTTAAATAAATAGTATGTAAACCATAATTAAAATCCTAAACTGACCTTCTCGTCGAGTTTGGCTCTGCAAATTGTAAGTTTCTGTTTAGCAACACTGCCCATATTGCTGAGCTTCTCCATTGCAGACTGCATTATATTTATTTCTCTCTCTCTCTCTCTCTCTCTCTCTAGATATCACCTTCTTCCCCAAAACAGATCCCAATTTAAGTCATAGAATCACAGAAACACAAACACATATTTTTGTGAATAAGTTTTAAAAGATTTTGAAACCACGACACGTCAGCTGCCATCTGTCAACCATGCATGCTCACTCATTGGTATCGTTCCACGTGTTATTTCATAAGCTATATACTAATATATTCAATATATTATTTATCAAAAGCAAATATAACAAATTTGTTTTTTTTTCCCTCCTCTAAGAGGACGTTGGTTTATGATTTCTGAAAATATGAAAAAATTAACTTATATTTTATATTTGGATGGAGATTTGAAAATTGAATCTAGACGTGTTTAGTAATATATCTAATCTTAAATATTATCAGCATATATATTATCAAATTTTTTAAAATTATTACATAAGGACGGTTAAAACTATGTTAAAAATATTTAGTAAAATTAGTAAAATAGTAACATTTTTAATTTTTTCAAATATAGTATTTAAAAAATTTTAAAAATAAATTACATATTTTGAAATATATGAAAAAAAATTTTACTACCCACTTCAATTTCCCTTTATAATGTTATATAATTTATAATATATTATGTTTTACCTGATTTAGAAATAATAATAAAATTAGTTTATAATACGATATAGTATTATCTATATTTATCAAAATTTTTATTTTTTAATATAATTATACATTTTAAAGTTTCAAATTAAAAAAAAAATGTTACTTTTAGAATTTTTACTATTTGGATCTCAGAATCCAAAAACACTGTTAAGAAAAACAAATCTAATTTAAAAAAGAAGAAATAGAATTTATCAAACAAACTCTAAACCTTCGTGTTTCTATGAATACATATTATTTTTTAAAATTAAATTGAAAGAAAACTACCAAAGTGTCACTGTCAAATATAGGATCCAATTGATTGGTTTGGTTTAGTTTTTTTAGTTCAATAAACAATGGATTGGGTTGATACATCCAAAGTTTAAATTTATAGAAATGAATATGTCTAATTTACTAAACTATGCTCTTTTATAATATTGGTTTGGTTCTCTAAAGTTTAATTAATCCATAAAAACTTATCAAACCAATTTTATGATGATAGTTCATTTTTGTAACATCGTAGTTTCGTTTTCAACCAAAATATCGGATTTCTATCCAATGTGGCCCTATATAAAAAGTTGAAATTTTTATTTTTTCTTTTTCACAAATAGGGCCACATAACATTCTTAATCCCAAGTAAAAGTTCCACTTTTTTCACACAAATCAACAGAAACTTTAGGGATTTCTATGGTTCATGCCATTGATTGAAAGAGAAGGCAAAGTCATGAACCAACTAAGGTCACAAAATTACAAAGTGTACATCTCACAGAGTGGGCCCCACATTGGTACATCAGCAGCATCCTACAGTTCCTACAGTTGATCTCAGCCGTCTGATTTGCTGTTTGTGGCAACCATCCAAAACAACATAATAATAAGCAAATTTTTAAGCTTGGTTCTATTTTGGCCCTAAAAAAAATTATTATTATTTTAATCATTTTTAGTCCCAACAAAAAAAATTTAAAAAATTAGCACCATCTCTAGCTTCATCAGTTGGAATATCCTAGCAATGAAGAATGAGACTTAAAGGCTTAGAAGGAACTAGTTTGACAAATAGGTAGAGTATTGGATCCACTTGAAGAACAAAATTGATGACTTGGGAGGCTTTTGAGTATCTTCTCTTGAAAATCCTCAACCTAAAGCAGAATGTTCGAGAAGGTACCTAAAAAAGTATAATCGTAACGATTGTCGACTCATCCTGTTGTTTGTTGTTCTTGTATGATCCTATGGAAAACGAACTTTCCTAAGGATGACCACTTTCGTTATGAATAAAGGATGGCCACGTAGCATAATCGAGTTTTCGAATCAGCTTCAAGCTGATTCTCCTCCGAGGCCAGTTTTTCGACAAATCTCAGGGCCTAAGAGATTTGCTACTAGAGCTCTATTACAGCCTTATTTGGATGGAAAGAAATCAAAAACTCTTACAAGGTAAACAAAAGCAATTAGACTTCTTGTTGTAACTTTAGCACACAAACTCCAGAGTACTCTTTGTTAAGGATCTCACGCTGAAAAGATAAGGGATCTGACAAGGGTTTATAATAGACATGGATTACTTATCTCATTACTAATTGGTTTTGAGATGGAATTCCATGAATATTGATATGATATCAAAATAGGATCCGGCCAAGATCGATGAGCCAAAAGAACTACGATCTTAAGAGAGCATGTTAAGAATTCCACATTAAAAAAGTTGAGGGACCTTACAATGGTTTACAATAGACATGAACTACTCCTCTCATTACCAATTGGTTTTGAGATTGAACTCATGAATATTGATACTCTTCACAGAACTTGCAATGAGAAAAAAGAAAATACTATAATAGAATTTTTAAGAATTTACCTTTGGAGGCTGAATTGACCGTTCGACAACACGAACATTGTACACTTGTCGCCCCGCGACTGAACAAGAGCAGAGTGTGACAGCCTTTACACACCAGCCGAGCCATCTCTAACCCTGCTTAAGGTTCAAGTTTAAAACCAACCATATTACTATCTACTGATACTAACCTAAACAAATTTGTGTTGAAAACAGATGAAACTTACATGAAATTTAAAGAAAAAAATATAAGCCCACCTAAAAGAAACCAAATAAAAAACAAAAGCTCAACCGGCCAGCCCATTGGCATACTGGAAATAGTTCCTTTATCGTTGGATGAACCAAATTTAGACTGACAATAGTAATGGAATTGACAAATGTGATCCAGATGAGGACGAATTTGTATGAAAGTTTTTGTTTAAGACGAGAAAGTTTTGTTTAAGACGAGAGTTTTCGTTTTTTCTTCGACTGATTTTCTTTCTTTCTTTCTTTTTTAATTTGTATAATAACGTTTGTTGGATAACAAATTGTGTATTAATTTAGAAGTATTATTAAATCGATATACACACATATTATCTATAAGAAAATTAATAATTATTTGTCCCCAATATGTTTGTATTGTACATTTTAAAAAATTGGTGTGTTGCCGTGTTGTCCGTGTCCGTGCTTCTTAGATACTGACTATAGGCAATTTTTAGCATGTGTACCAGCTATTTCTTGATAGTTGTGATTAATAATTTAATCCTATAAGATAACCATATGACTACAATATTTAGCAACAAAAAACCAGTTACTTCTGTCTTTGCTTTACCTACAACTAGTGACTACAACTAATAAGATTAAGAAAAGGAGCAGACATCGACTTTAATGGAAGTCGACTTCACTAGTAATTCAACCTTGGTTTGAACTCATAACTTCAAAGCAATTCGAGTTTTAGATTCGTTTATGAAAATTAAGTTTTTGTTTAATATATTCTTAGAATATGCTTTTAGAACATAAAGGGTGAAGATGGGGATGATAATTTTAATTATAGTTGGAATAAACAAAATCACAGCCCTTTTCTTACTATTCTAATTCACTAGAATTTGAGAAAAGAATCCGATTTGAAGTAAAAGCAAAGCCATAATTTCAAAAAGATCAAAAGATAAGTGAGAGGAAATAAGAAACAAACCAGGAGTTGGCACAGGGGAGACCGAATGGCAAAGAGTACAGCAAATGGAGGTTGCTCCAACTGGATAGATCAACAGATTTTTACATCCAGAGCACACCATTCGGCTTTGACAACCTATTGCCCAACACAAGTTTCAATTCTTGCAAGATTAAAATTATTACATAAAATCAATTCTTTTCTTAGCTTTGTTATTCTGGAAGAACAGAATTCAATTCGAAGTACATGAATATCAAATTCAATCAAAAAATTTGATTATTCATGTTGGGACTTCTGTCTCCTTTGGATGCTTGTATACAAACAAAAACACCCATCTCCCATTAGAAGCTTTGGGTTCTTCCTACAGTTTATCGGATCCACAAACATGAAAATAATTCAAATTAGAAGTTTTGAAAGGTAGTGTAGTCATACAAGTTACTGGAGGAATTGGCATTTCTGTGACGTGTTGCTACTTGCTGGAGAAACTTATTTTCCTCTGGGATTCCTTCAAAACTCAGTTTCTCAGGCAAAGACGACACTGTGCTTCGTCTTCATTCCTACCATCTCTGGAAATGGAAGAACTGCTTAGAAAAAAAAAATTGATGTGAGCTAAAGTTTGAAAGGAAAACAACATACCTTTGCAGCTTCCAACAAATGATAGGTGTTCGGGAGTTGATCCTTTGGCATCAGAACCACTTTGGAAAGGAAATTCCCTCCCTCCAAAAAAGTTGACACTGATAGATATGCCAATGGTAGGAGGAGAAAGCGGAGGAAGATTAGAAAAATAATAATTATGTACCTCCTTCTCTCCTAATAAAGAGAGTCCACTTGTTTTTATTCCATTTTTCATATGGATCAAACATCTTATCTACAACTTTAAAGGTTAAATATCATCTAGCTACATGAATTTATATTGAAAATATCAGCTTCAGTGATCCAAGAAGTGCCCTAATGGTAAGGCTTGGGATGCTTACCCTTCAAGCTCCATCGACCAGGTCCAAGTCGAAAACTTAATAACTCAAAATCCTTGTCGGCTAAAGGCTATAGTTGGTCTTGGATAGAAATCCTTATCTGCTAATGGCTAGAGTTGGTCTTGGATAAATGAAGTCTTACGAATTAGTGAAGGTGGGTTATGAGCATAATCCAAGTAGTGGGACCTTGACATCCGAGTTATAAAAATAAAAGATAATATTAGTGCTTGTGCCAATACCACAATAATATCATTTTCTTTCCCTTCATATATAAGGTTTTT